TATGAATTTAGGATTGTCAAATAAAGTAGAATAAAATTGTTAATATTGATATGATTCAAACGGCTGAAGCAGTAGCGATCCGGATGACGAAACCCGAGCTATGCATACAGAAGAAATATGTTCAACCACTCCTCCTCCGTTGGCCAACCTCAAGGACAGTTAATCAATAGTAATATTAGCTGTTGAATGACTCAATTTGACCATTGTACTTACAACCTCTCGTGATCAGTTGTAATTGTCTGTTATCTTTATTGACAAATCTTTGTATTATTATTATTAATATTATTGTTTAAATATCAATAGTAATAATAATAATCATAAAGAACTAATTTTATTTATGAACGTCAATGGTGTAACTAAGTATTCAAATCCATTATTTCACATCTATGCAGTACATTAGAACAAAAAGTTTATCATATCTTATGAATAAGATTGCAATAAGAAACAAACCTTATTTGAATCATTTTGTTAACTTAAAGTTTCTTGTTTGGTAAGTCATTCATTGTAGAATGACACATACCTGTTAAGGTAACTAGTATTACATTAAATAACTAATTCTAAGGAAAAAACTTTATCATAATATCATAAGGGGTTTTTGTGGATATTATAGTAATTTCAACAGTTGAAATCATGAATCAATTGAAGCTAGACTACCATGGAAAACCTGGAAACACTAGATGGCTGTTTCGTCTTAGTGTGAAGTTCCTCAGCACCGCGCATCCACGATCCCATCTCGTGAGATTCGATTCCATAACATGTCGGTCTCGCGCGTGAACGCTTAACCTCTAGACCAACTGAGTCAGCAGGCATCCAAAGGTGTTAACGTCTAATTTCAACTAATCCACGAAATTGATTACCACATCGATCATTGTCTTCAGTGAGTTACTATCTCACAATAGACCAGGTTCAATTCCATAATAGTTAGTTATGTCTAAATTTTGAAATAAATTACTGTATAAATCTAAAACTATGTAACTTATCAAAAAAATATATTACGAATTTAATAATAAATATATAAGAATATCTTACTTCAGATTGTATAGTATTGCTATGAATTTTTCTGATTATGAATTGATCCTTTTCATAGATTTGAATTACAGCTTCACATGATACATTAAAACAACGTCTAGTCAAATTAATTTGTTCATCTTTACATAACCATTGAATATGTTTCAATGCATTCATATAACTTAATACACCGGAATTACCATGAATAAGAAATCCATTTGAACGTTGATATACTTTTATATCATTTTTGATATATTTAGGATTTAACAAAATATATTCTGAAATAGACAGAATATTGTCTACAGTATTGAATGGATCACTTTTGCATAAATCAATAGTACATGATGAAATTGTTTGCTCAAATTCTGAAGCTAAATGTTAAAAAAAATAATGCGAAATTTTGTTTGATTAATACAGTTTAAATAAATAGCGCACAATTTAAGGAAGTTGACGTCAATCTATACCAAAACAAAACTGTTAATAAAATAGTAATCACAGAAAGGTTTTTGTAAATATTATAGTAATTTCATAGTTGAATTCATGAGTCAATTGAAGCTAGACCACCATGGGAAACCTGGAAGCACGGGACGGCTGTTTTGTCCTACTGTGGCACTCCTCAGCAGTGCGTATCCTGGAGTTCTTGTTAGAAGCAGTGACCAGTGGAATTCGACCAAGTCTTTTGTGAAATAATAACTCACTGATGACGGTGACGCATCTTCGTCGATTGGCTGAAGTTAGACAATAACACCGTTAGATGCCTGCTGGCTCAGTGGTCTAGAAATTAAGCGCTCGCATGCCAGACCGATAGATTATGGGTTCGAATCTCACGAGGCGGGACCGTGAATGCATATTGCTGAGGAGTTCCACACTGGGACGAAACGGCCGTTCAGTGTTTTCAGGTTTTCCATGATGGTTTAGCTTCGATTGACTCATGAATTCAGCTATTAGATTACTATAATATCTACAAAAACCCTTCTTTGATTACTATTTTATTAAAATAGTAGAAGACAGGCATAAATTTAGAAAAATACGCATTACCAAGGACATTTCTTTTAACAGATTTTCGAATGAAGAAAAGAAAACAAAATTTTTCAATTAATTTACATAAATGAAAATTTAGAAAACCCTATCAGTGTGACTACAGGCGAAGATATATATTTAGCTACTGAATACAGACGGATAGACATATCAACAACGTGAATATACAAACTCTTACAAATAAAATACACAAATACTGATAAAGCTAATGAATATATAGACTAAGTAGCCCAGTGAATAACGCGTTGAGTGTTTAAAGTAAGAAATAGTAAATTAGATTCTCAATGAACAACGTCAAACGAGAGTGGGAGGTACATTTGTGCATCGGTTCAAGTTGCCGTACCACATAAGTATTGTCAAATGGAGTTATCACGTCTAATCGCAGATTTGTAGAAGTAGTAACGATAGGTCTGTTAGTAGTAACCATTGGGGCATAAATGAATTGATTTAAGAAAAATAGATGAATTTTCAAAATGAAAGGTATAGGCATTTTAAATTATGAGCTGTATATCTTTACGTTGTTGTGACTGATTTTGAATGAGGTTACGGTCTCCGACCCTTCGTTACGATAATTACCACTACTCCATATTGATAGTGTTTATTCGTTGATTAGGTTCAATCCAACTTTCCGTAAATTCATAGATTGATACCATATTTTGTCACGAGCACCAACAACTTGAATGGTTATGATATTGAAAAATATGCTAATAATAATTCGAATAGGTGTTATGCTCACCACGACCACCTGTTAGGTGGTAACTATACGCCTTCGATTTATGTCGAACAGCTGTCCAGTATACCTTCGATTTTCAGCAGTTCTCTCCACCATTACTTATTTATTTAAAAACATAAACATTGGTACAAGGAGGCACCAAATATATATGCGGCACATAAATCATTCGATTTGTGTGAGGGATGGGATACTATCCAGGTGCCCAAACCGAAGCAGGTAGTTTTCTTAGAAGACCACACGTGGAGCCTTCGACCTAAAGGTAAGGAGATGCAGTCCCATGGTAGTCGGTGACCAACAGTAGGTTCATACACCATTTGTGAACAATTGGTTTGGAATCATGGTTTTCTAACTCCCCTAGGTGGATTCTTCATACCCACCAACTCGGTTAAAGCACCAGGCATTAGCTTTTCGTCCTCTGAATTTGGTAAAAAACAGCAATGCCGTGAGAAGGCCACGAGTAGGACTTCCTTGGCAGTGGTTGTATGCACGTTGCCATGTGAGAGCATTTCGAGAGGGAGAGATGATTCTGCCCACTCTCGCCCATACCAGGGCATTTGGTGGCAAATATCAATTCAACAAAAAGGAGTAATTTACGTAAATTATGCAAATAGCGTAGTTATGATCTGGAGACAGATTCCCATATTTTTCCATTATTATGATTATTTAGTAAGAACATACAAAAGTAACTTACATAAACCATTTAGATTAATTTTCTGTTTCATATTAATTGTTTAATGACCAAAATGAGAACTTTGATGTTATTTTTATGAATGAATTGTTATTACAGATTCCTGTTTTCATTCTGTGCACAATTTGTTTTTCTTAGCATATTAAAAATACATAGATTCCTTTCATCATTGAATCAGTTTGTATGTAAACAGGAATAATGTTGAACTTAAAATTGGACATTCCAAACGGCTCTCTCGATATATAGGTTAACTAACGGTTATTCTTATAGTTAATGCATTTTTACATATTACTACAGTGATATACAAATGTATTGGTCTATCAATTAATTGATTTCTACAATACATATTGACAGGATGATTATTTTGTTTCTAGGTGAAGGGGGTTGGATATGTTCTTTTTCACTTATCTATAATCATGTAACTGTTTGGAAAAGCTTGTTTTCAACAAGATAAATAATTTGACTTATTTACTAACATGAAAACTGTTTTTGTTTTTAAGATCATGAACCGATTGATGTTAGACCACCATTGAAAACTTGGAAGCACTGGATAGACGTTTCGTTTAACATCAATTGGTTCATGATCTCAATCAAAAACTTAATAATTCCCACAACCCCATACTGATGAAAACTGTTTTGTCGAGAGATTTATATTAAATGTGGAATTATTAAAATGTAATGAAGTAATGGGAAATTAAAATTAAATAAATATCATCATATCTGTGTTTTAGTAAGTTCAGTCCAATGACCCAGTGATCTATAACTACTAGAACTACTATTTCGACTTGTTTTATTATAATCCTGGTTATTTTCTGTTAATTTGATGATGTACCTGTTTCACAAATTGAGATGTTGCATAATGATACCGAGATAAGCTGTGTGTGAGAATCGCCTATCATTAATTAACATATAATTCCCATTTAAGTATTAAAAAACCTAAAGTTCAGCAAAGGGATATATTCTCAACGAATTTATTATTAAGCTCTACTCGGTTTAAAGTAGTTGAAAAATGACTCATTGATGTCTCTTAAACGGTCCTACAAACAGCGGTAACCCAGTGTTTACGTCATTCTACCTTGAAACAGTTGTTCATCCAAATCTCACCTAATTGGGTCATTGGAACATTGAGTAAGTTTTTACATTTAGGGGTTGTGGAGATTTCTGAATTTCATCAAAATTATGAATTGATCTAAGTTGGACTACGATTGAAAACCTGGAAGCACTGGAATGACGTTTCACGTGGACGCCTAACCTCCAAACCACTGATCCGACATCTAATGGTGTTACTGCTTAACTTTAGTCAGTTCACAACATTGCATAACCATCTTCCACTGCCTTCGGTGGGTAGTTGCCTCACACTGAATAGATTGTCCTACACAACAAAACAGTCTCTTAAAGTCACTAAATACGTAAACCAGTGCTTGATTACTGAGTTGTGGTTAGTAAAATCAGATATCAAAGTGATTACTTCAAAATGTGTACACGTTAGTAGTAGTGGAGTTATTGATGGATTAAACAGAGTGGTAAATATAAACGTGACAACATTTTTATGTTCTTGTTCGTAGCAGTTTGTAATTTCTCGTTGTTGACAGTCATGATTAAATCTAATCAGAATATATTCATATACGGGAACCTTGAATGAATGTTTCGATGCAATGACTGCAATCACAAGTTAATTATATGTTTTAGATAGTGTTTAATAATGTCATCTCAGAAGTGAGTTTCGTCCTGTTTGGGGCTTAATAGCTTGATACACCTTCTTCCTCGAAATGATTTTCTCAATGATGTTTAATCCTAACTATCGTCCCAAAAAGAGCAACAAAGGGTATTTAGTCGTGTTGAAATATTGAGCACATAGTACGTCGAAAAAAATAATCTATTATACAAAAAGTTCTCAAATATGATACTATTTCTTCTTACATGTATTATGTGAATTCAACAGTTCCAATGGGGTCTTCCACATGATTGTTATGTATGGAAATATATAGACTCCAGTAGATAAACTACTTAATGTGACGTTTCTCGATGTGAATGTCTTGTTCATATGTTCATATTGTTCTGTATTAAACAGTACTAGTGAACTGATTGATGATGTTGATATTTCATCGAATGACTGACGTATCGATTGGTTTAGTTGAGTAGAAGCTGGTAACTTAATGGTAGACAGTTTTTCAGGGATCTCTTTTTCATGTTTCTGTTCATACTCATGGAATTGTTGTTGTTTTTCTGTCGTTTGATGAACATTCGATTGCTGATAACCGTGATTTGGTTGATTATGACTATGGTACCGCCTATGAATGTATCGATCCGTACGAATATTTGAATTCAATGTATCAAGTAAAATTAATGTTTGTTTAGTTGGAGGTAATGGACTAATTAGAATTACTTGATTAAATGTTGAGGGTATTTCACAATCTGTTGCATAGCTATGAATAGAGTGAAACAAAATAGCATAAAATAACACTAATAACTGCTGAAATAAGTAATATACTTATTTAAAATTACGAAACGGTATCACTAATTCTCTTTTGAAACTTTCCCTAAAAGTTCGGATACATTCAAAATAGATTTATTCAATCAACATCTTCGGTGAATTTCAGAAGTTAACATATTTATGTTCCCAGTGTAATCTGATTGATCATGCACACAAATCACTTCTTATAGTACCAACCCAATAGTCTAGAAATAGTATATTCAGCAACACCTGAAGATTTATGTTTAGGTCGTAAGTAAGGATTACTAAGTATTTCCATACAGTAGGTTGAAGCAGCGGCTGTGTGCCTTTTGATTTTCAATAGTCGTTCATAAATAAATTCAGTCCTTAGTCAAATGTAAAAGTAGAACAACCTACTCAAATCTTTTATGCTAATAAGTATTCCTTTATTTTACTTTTATTCTTCTTTTGATCGATATTTTTTTCTTTGCTACCGTGCAATTTGAAATCACTTAGGAGTATCACTCAACCTTTCTAAAGATAACTGACTGTTTCATGAATAATGTGTTACGATTCAATAATTTAAGTAGGAAAATAAATAATTACGCTACAATTCACCTTGATGAAACGAAAATCCGTTAAAGGACACTTTATACCTGCTTCTCACCAATGAGAAAAATCTTCCAAACTACAAAAGTCAAGGTCTACTAGAACTCATTAGTTAGCGAACAAAAACATAATTTCAATCCGACAATTAAAACATTACATTGGACAAAGTGGATGCCTTCTATGTAAAGACACCAACTACTTGTCAAACCCTATAGGGTGTCTTCGCTCACATTAATCCACGTGAACAATTACGGATACACATCTGGCTGAGAAAATGTTGAAGGTTTTGATAAAGGGGATATTAAAATGGTCAGGTAATTTTTAGAAGCGTGGTAAAAACCTCAGCTAGCACTCAATCAATACATCGGGATCGACCTAATTAATCAATTAATGACAAAAATCATGGACAAATATATAAAACAGGGGTCAAGTTAATGGGGGAAGCAATCAAAATTACTTTACATATAACGACAAGGTAAAGGTCAATCAATCAGTGCTAATGATCAAGGCCAACAGTGAAAGCTGTTATTCATATACGGAGAAGTTAGAATATCTCGATTCTTTTAAATCCTAAGCCGATAGAAGTTATACAATCAATGAAACCTGAAGGCACTAGACGAACGTTTCCTTCTGGTATGGAACTCATTATAATTGCGTATCAACGATCCCGCACGAGGGAACCGAACCCAGGACCTGCGATCTCCTGTACAAACGTCTAGCTTCTAAACCACTGAGCTACCATTCAACGGTGTAGGGGGTGACTGGTTGAAGTTAAACAAGTACACTCACAGGATCCATCGAAGACAATAAAAAATGTTTGCGTAATATCCTGAACTAATCGAATTTAGACACATACACTGTCAGATGATGGTTCAGTGGTTTAGAGGTTAAGGGTTACATGAACGACTGATTTCCTGGATACCTTTTTCCCTGGCGAGGTTATAGATGAGTGCTACTGAGGAGTCCCACACAGGGACGAAATCTCTGTTCAGTGCTTCCAGTTTTCAATGGTTCTCTAACTTCGGTCAATTCGTGACTTTAGTGGAATCTAACAACTTCCATAACAGCATAATGATGACCGTCTCAATTCAACTTAAAGTTTACGCTGATGATATTGTTCAGAAGAACAATCAAAGTTTTACGATTAAACCAATTCTCTGAGAGAACGAAACTCCACCAAAAATTAAAGAACACTATATATCCCGATGTCTACATAAATTACTTACGCAAACAAAGTATTTAATTGTATAGCCACTGGTTCCGGTCGATATCGTGGTTTATATTGTAGTCTTGGATTGTAAAATGTCACATTTCTTAGAATTTTCGATAATTCATTTAAACTTTTAGCTTGAATAATGATACTATTCAAATGAGAATTACGAATATTTGTTGTATCGAAACGATTAGTGTTTGAACTGATTGATGTTGGATCGTTGATAATTAGACGTGGTTCACAGTTGGTCAGACAAAGTATTTCCTCATCTGATTGAATATATCCATTTGTAAAGGTTAAACCAGCAAGATAACCCTTGTTTATGTATTTTCAATGGTGAAAATAAGACAGTATGTGCATCAATAGCATTCAGTAATAATAATAATAATAATAATAATAATAATAATAATAATAATAATAATAATAAACGTAACTACGTTGGCTATCGTGAAAGTAGGACCATTATTTCACTGATTAACAAGTGACCTACATAATCCTTTTTACTAGAAATCGCTTATTTTTGAATGAGTATTATCGTTTTGCCAGAAAACCACTGAAGATATTAGGCTTTCTTTTCATTTGTTTCATCGAAGAGCCGTGTATTGTCAAGATGTTTTAAACCGGAATAGAATAATAATCCGTTGTTGTCCGGCTAATTTGGTGTATGTTGCATATTACTTTTATATCATTAAAACAACACTCATGATGATCTAATAGAACTTTATCGGGTGAACTAAGATTAGAGAGGAAATTGTATAGCTAACTCCATCACAATATCATAGTAACAAAGAATTTCACTTTGATAAGCAGCATTTTAAGTGATATTGCTTTTCTATAATCAAAAAGAGAGATTATATAATGTTGATACTGTGAACAATGCCTCTTCCCTTGCTCCAAAAGTTTACGATGGTAACAATAGAGTGAATAAAATTATGGCGCTATTCACGTTTTTTCGCCAGTCTTTGTCCATATGTAACCGGTGCTAGAGAATTTAGTTTACAGAACAATGATTCTGAAAGTTCATTAGTTTCGCGTGAATGATTTCAACATACTTTTCTTCCTTAACCCTTTATTTCAGACTGTCAGCGAACATTAGCGTTGCATTTTAAAGAAAACGAACAACCACTACTGAATACGTCGAGCCAAGCATACATAGTTTATGTTCCACTAAACATCTACCTATTTCTTTCTCTTTCAACATACTTGATTATCAAATTTTGGAATCAAGTTCGACAAAGTATTTTTTTCACTACATTAATTCGATTTGTAGGAAATTGAGTTGATGTCTGGTTATGCCAGTTTCTACGTTGTTGATCATGTACTGACTGCATCAAGCAATGAAAATAAACCAATAGATTTTGAAAAACAATAATAATGACAAATAAAAGACCTACGACAAAATGTTGAGCGAATTGAGCACTACGTCCATGCCAACAAGCGCCAACTGAAGTACGAACAAATTCATGATTTTTAACAGATAAATGTACCATAGGCATATTTTCAGCAATTTGCACCAGTTCAGGATTATTTGGTACTAATCTTCCATCCAAATATAATTGTAACTAAATAAACAACAGAGAAGATATTATGGCAGTGATAATGACTAATAGTTTTGTCATTTCCCAAAAGCATATATATATATATATATATATATATATATCAGTCAACTACAACGTAGGACCAGGCATATATATGCATCGATCCAAGTTGCCTCATTAGCACAACAAGATGAACACCAAATTCATTGAAACAGTCACTTCAATGGTAGTAATGCGCAATAGATTGTTTATAAGGTTATAGTACACAAAGAAAGAATTAGAAATGTGTAAAATAATTTTAATCTCACAGTTTAAGGGAAGATAAAGAGTGTATACACTGACGTCATTGTGGTCGATTCTGAGCCATGTCACACAGAGTCTCCAACCATTGTTTACGACAGTCGCGCAGACCCCAATGAAGTAGCCTGCATCTACCAACATGGCTCAGACCAGAAGTTAGTAACTTCAATGACTGATGCCACGTTTTGACTTGGCTGACTTTAACTTTTTTATAGCTGTCTCCAACAACAGTTGGCATTGTGTTTTGTCGTGATCGGTGTTCAGGCATACGAAACAGGTGGCCCAACCATCTTAGTCGATATATATATATATATATATATATATATATGATAGATTAACTCTAGAGTTCTTTAGGAATGGTGATTTGGTGTTAGTAGTTGAGCTAACCAAAACATTAGCTAAGATCTGAAAGAAGGATGTGATCTGAGTGGTCTTGATTGATGATAGTCTCAGTCTATATCAAAGGATCAAGAAGCCTTTGTGACAGATACGGAATAGTTATTTTGACTAAACTAATGCGGTACCCAAATGTTAATCTATATAATCAGTCAACACCAAATGGTAGTCAAGGTGACCAAACCTGTATGAAACAAGCTGTTTTATGACCTATAAGAGGATGTATTGACTAGATTTGTAAAATTTGACAGGTCTTAAAACAAAAACACATACCGACACCCGAATGTAATCTTGTTTGCCAAGGTAATCCCGGCATTTCGCTCCGTCGATCGGGGAGTTTTTGATAGCACTTGTAACTTGAGGATGCATCAGAGAGATATTTAAGATTTTTAAAGCCTCTTCGCTAAAACACAATTGCTGTCTTACAGCTTGTGGAAAACTGCCATTTAAGTTGGAAACCACAAGTGTATACTCTCCTCATACATTGGGAATGTGTAAATAATAGCGTCCTGTTAGTCGACAGTTCTATAAAAACCCCGATGTCTGGTGAGGTATTAGCACGGGTTAAGTAGGGTCAGTTGGTTTTTGTTGATTTAGATCACATTTATGGAAGAGATGCTGGTTTTCCAACCGAAAGATAAGTATATCGTTTAGTGGTCTGCTATATGTTTCTGTATGGCTGTGAAACATAGTTCATAGAAGAAGAGAAACATAGACTAAAAGTGATTGACCACAGATGTATTCGAGACCATGCTTCTATTTTATGGTACGATTAGGTGAACAATGCTAAATTTAGACATAAGCTACTAGTGAAATATTCAAAATTAATTATTGAGGTTGTGGACCTTCATCAAGTAAGTTCGCTGGAACTTGTATTACATATGCTTAACCACCACCTACGTCTACATGTTATGCCTGTTGGTGTAGGAGTAGGTTAACAAAAAACTAGAAATGGACAAAGCACCAAATGACATTAGTTAATGAAAGCTCTGACTGTTAGGTGAGCAGTATTTAAAGATGCAAATTACCTAGTTAGGGTCATTTAATAACTTCGATTAGTTGGTTGGAGATTTTCGAATAGCATAGTTCAAACTCAATCACGGTGGAGTAGATACATGCATTCTTCAACATTAATTCATACTATTTATTGGCCGGATGAATCTCTTCTCTTCGAACCGCATTCTCCTATATCCAGTCAATATTATTGATATCAATATTACCTGAATTACTTTGAGGTAAGTGACAACCTGGGCTGATTCACTTTCGCGCCGCCTTCTATGTGGATAATAACTCATTGACTGATTTTACATGGATCATCCATTTACTAAGTATCATTTGTTTGGTTACAGTAAATAATTATCGATATAAATATAACAATATGACAACCTGTTCTTATTGTTTATTTGTTTAACTCGTAAGTGCTCACAATAAATCTATTTAAACAGTGATTGGTGGCAATTACTCTTCTTATACAAACGTTTACAACTAATTTTGTTCCTATGACACATTTTACATTACATAATGCATATTTAATGAATGAGACCTAATGTAATAGCATCTTATTTGTTTAAAGAACGCAGAAGAAAGAAAATACACTAAACACTTTGGCAGTTCCGTTAAACTGTTGTAGTATTTAGCTTCGTGATAGCTTGTACGTTTTTACATATGCGTTAAACCAATTGACATAATTAGGCAGTTAAGATACATAATTAATTAGCAGATGAAAGACCTTTTACAAGATTTGCGCTGTAGAAAAATAGATAATATAAAAATTTGATCAGTCTGCCAGGACATTTTGCAATACAGAACTTCAAAACAGTCTACTCTTTTCACATGATGAAAAACATGACAAAACTGATACATTTTGATCTACCTACAATCAGGAACTACTCATAATGCGTCAGTAATTTGACCTGTTACATCCATTGAAGATTAAATACATGGTACCTTCTAGGAATTATTTATGGACTGTTATTATATATATTATTGTATAATTATTACGTAACTAGGTGAAATGTGTTCATATTTCTTTTATCATAAGCTTTCATTTGACACATTAACTACTAATATGCGATTTACCACTTGATTTGTTCCCATTCCATTAGTAATAGTCTTCTATATCGCAGACACGTTTGGCTTGATCTTGTAGAATTGTTATTTTTCATGTGATGATGTGATGCAGCCTGATCTGCTTGTATATTAACTATGTACGTCTGAAATATATGGTTCATACATAACGGGGGTTGATACTGTGTTCTGAACTCAACAGACGAGGAAAGAGGAGAACTAATGTATCGAGGACTGATAGTGTTTTAGAGTTGAATCAAGGCTACCAGTGCTAGTTGGAGAGTTATTAGTTAGCTCATAGACAAGATCATGGAAGTCGACATTCTGATTGGCGGTTTTTGTCACGTGATATGGACAGGGCAATAAGTCACAACATGATCAAGGTTACCAAAATGAATGTGATAACTAAGCAAACAATTTTGTATCTTGTATTGAAAGACGAACTCGATAGCATATCCGAGTGGTTTTCGTAACGGTGTAATTAATAACAGTTCGGCTAGGATTACTACTGTAAACTAAAAAGTAGTAAATAAATATTTTTATTCTAATCCAAGACTCTTCGATATTTTAATGTATAACTTAATCAAAGATAGAAATCACGAGTTTCATCTCCAAGAGTGATCCTCTGACATTGCATTTACACTTGTGTTACTCCATGATCTAGTCAGAGACTGTCAAGTCTCAAGCAACCTGCAAACTTATTCATGAGTAGTAATCAATTATGTGCTTGTACACTCAGTAGTTGTGTTGATGCACTCACATCAGTCAGTCTGCTTCAAGATTCTACATAATTCTAGTTGAAGAATACTAATGCAAAGAAACCTAAATATTTAGTTGTTACAATACAACTGATACAGAGTATCGCTTCACAAATCGATAAAGTCTTCCTTCCATAACAGTTAACTTGTGTTGTATTCAAACTTTTAGTCACGGTGATTTCATGTCTAACCGATTTCGGGATCAAAGTTTGTAATCCTGTTCAGATGGGAAAATCAACCAAAAGGAAAGGAATACTCGATGAAAAACGAACACAATATACTGACTTCAATATCACTTTCTGAGTTGGATGAAAGTGTCTTTTGTCCATTTACAATTGTCGTTTCTGGTGGACGATAGGTCAACGAATAATGATGCCAATTCGAATCGCATACTTCGTCGACATCGAAACGCCATTGAGATGGAAGTAATTGAGACGAATCAGAATATAGGGTGAATTCATTGGTTGGTTCACGACGTATCAATACAACCAGTTTACAATTGTGCAGAAACACAGCGAAATGATGCCGATTCTTTTCTTCAACACAATAATAATAATAATTATGATTATAATTATAATAACAATAGTATCTATTAGTCCAATGATATCGTTTTTACAATAAGTGGTTTTAAGAGGGAATGAAATTGCATTTGTGCTGGCAAATCAGTTGACAAATGTTTGAGCGAACTTCAAAAAATTGATGCCACTTAGCATGGTTGAGACCAGCCACAACTCTTTCAACGTTAATTCAGTACGTTGTATCCAGCACTCGCGGTGATTTTCAGTTCACATATGTATTATAAATGTTGGAGTTTGAAATGTAGTCTGTGGTGAAAATCATATTCCGATTTATAGTATTCATCCATCCTCGAAATGAACGGAAACACGACCCAAAGTGCCGGAAACAACACATCGATTGAAAGTCAGTTTTCAGAGTCTCTATTTTGGGAGTATGCTACAGTTTCACTATAGTGAATAATTTAAAGTGAGACCTGTCTAACTGATAGTCAGGGTTATAACAATGATTTTCACAGAATCTTATGGAGAAAGAACGGGTACAGTTTTACAAATGTAGTAGTCTTTTCCACCAAGAAAAATCAAATTTACAACCGCACATTGTAGCGAAATATGTCTCTCACCAATGAAGACACAAAAGAGTTATACGTGATTCCTCTCAACGATCCCGACAAGTATGAAACAATAGGTCGATATTTGTTCCATGTTCGATAAACTAGGAAAACAATAGAAGGAATTAAATAACTTAACATGGTCATTAAATGTGTCTATGGAGGTCATCTTTTGTATATTGATTTCATAATTCCTGTTTTATGCAAAATAAAATCGCATAATGTTTTGATGTACAATGAACTTCTAAAAGCTTATTATTTGTCTGCAAAAGTTATTGTCATACTGGATGATGAAAGAATATTACAAAATAACATATACATTAAAATTTTTATCAACATAATGAAAAAATATAATTTAGTGATGATAGAGATTATATTCTATTAGCTGGATGATTTAATTGTGTCGCTTTAAATGCTGTCCAAAAAAGCATTCTCATCATCATCAACTTCTTCTTTAAACAACCGCTAAAGATATGGTATAATGGAACTATTCAGCTCATAGAATACAATATTAACCTAACAATCCACAAAATATAAAATAGCAGGTAATTAATGATTCTTCAACTGATCATAGTTTGTATTTAAAGTTGTATTCGACAAAAAAGAAATATTCACTTCACCTATTATATTATTCACTTGTAATCTAAATTCAAAAGGGAAATAATAATAAAACAAACAATAACGAAAGAAGAACTTCGTGGATATTATAGTAATTTAGTAGTTGAATTTATGGGTCAATTGAAGCTACTAGGTTTTCTATGGTGATCTAGCTCACTAGTGACTAGTTACGTGAGGGTATTCTCGGAGTTCTAGTAAGAATCCGTGACCAGTAGAGCTAATCCATGTCAGATAGAGACAGGTATCTACCTCAGCACAATGGAAGATGGTCGCACAATTCCGTGGATTAGTTGAAGTTAGACATTAACACTGTTGGATGCCGGCTGGTTCAATAGTCTAGACATTAAGTGTTCACGCGCAAGACTGGTAGGTTCTTGGGTTCGAAACCTGCGAGGCAGGATCGTGGATGCGCACTGCCTAGGAGGAGTTCCACACTAGAACAAAACGGCCATTCAGTGCTTCCAGATATTCAATGGTTGTCTAAAATCAATCAATTCATGATCTCAATCAATTACTAAAACAATAACAATAACAGCTACTTACCATATTCATCGGAACTGCATAAAATGTTCTCCCGATTATTCAGTAAATTCTTTTCATTATATTGTTTATTAAATATTGGTGAATGTTTCATCCAAAAATTGATTGTAAATAATTGATTGTCAAATCGTTGTAATTTATGAAATTTATGAAATTTGTTTAAATCAAAATGCATGGAACCATTAAAATAATAAATACCAGATGGATAACCTTTTTTATTGATTTTAGGCAATTCATTTAATCCTTGAATGGTTTCAATAATTGGTAAATTGATATGATTATTTTGATTGAATTGTTGTTGTTCATCAATATCTGGTAATAGATCGATAGTTTTACTTTGAGAAGAATCGACTGAAAAAAACAAAACAACACAACTCTAGATGGTGAATATGTGCAATGATACTAGGCTACAGAATATATCATTTCGATCGATTTCGAACCATGATAATATCCAATGGTTTTAGCCATTATCGATTAAGATACTTAGTGTTAAGATTTATATCTTCGTATATTATTTAGATCAGGCATCAATGGTTTCATTACATTGTTGGCATATTTTGTTTTAACTGATTTTACACTTTTTCAAACTTACTCCCAGTATAGTTATTGTTTAAGTCCTTTGAAATAAGCGATGACTGGGCATTCATGGTACATTAATAAATTTAGTTTAATATTTTCATTGGTCAATTTGCCGTTTTGACCAAATTGATAGTTTGATAGTAAGAGAGGAATGGTTCCAAGTTATCTGTGGTTGAATACGAGCAACGTATCAAAGTACTCAAACTTCGAGATCCATCGTTTACAACCATAGGTAGTTAAAATGGACTGCTGTGCACTATCCTGAGTAAAATCTGACCCAGAACTTCACGTAGTTCTTGGGGGAGGTGTATAGGATTGTGCATCATTAACCAGCATGGGAAGTCGATAGATATCGGTCTAAACAATCACTATCGTGAAAATAAATCCAAAAATCAGGTTTTAACTCGTGCTGGACAATAAAGGGTGTAGCACTTATGAATATGTATGGGTTTTGAGGGTAATATGTTGATTTGATTCGTATCTTTCAGGTTTATATAGTGCATATTTGGACAAAAAAGAAACGTTACATGGACCGTATTCATGCTAATATGTATAATGGGAGTACATGAGTTTCTGATCTGTGCATTTCAAATTCTCATTTTTTCTGTAGTCGGATAACTAAAATTTAACACTAATGGGCAACAAATAAAAGAAGGGAAGCGGAGCTAATCCTTCCCTTCTATAGTGGCATATATGCTTAAGTCGATTTTATTTGTGTAACTCAGGTGTGTATGCAATGCACACTTGTCACAAAGATCAGTTTCAAACTGTCTTCTTAAACTGAGTAGCAAATATCTAAATAACCGTAAAATCTTAACAGCTGTCCCTATGGTGTTCGTAATCGATTTCCGCTTGAAACATACATCCTAGCTCAGGTATGTCTGCCCGTATGAACATGTAAACTTGTCCAGACACTATAACTTCCGATCAATAAACAGATGAATGCCTTTTCTGAGTTACGAATATGAAAAGTTCGTAAGAGGCAAAAAATATTAGATAGTTGGGACTGGACACCACCACATGATGATCTTTGTATACGGAAAGATAAATTACATAAAATTTATTTTAGTTAGTTATAGATAGTTACTAAATCATAGATTATATTGTAAAGAGATTGAAATCTCTAACATAAACTAAGTAGACTATGATCTCTTGGTTCAGTTAAAAAAATGCATTGATTTTTATAGGTATGTACAGTCTTAGGGAGTCTTAAGATTGAACCGAAGATGCTTTTCAATTTGAAATAATTCAGAACTGAAATTTATAACTACCACTTTTAGCGATGAAAGTTCTAATTCCCCCCAAAATTAATTAAAAATTACTCAGTAACTAAAATATTTGGAAATACGAAGTGCCTCAATCCATGACATCCAATACGGATACAACACTCGAAATATGCTTATCCAACTAGTTATGTGAGTGAGCAGATTGAGAAATGGCTAGGAATAATTAAATATATAAATCCTTAACGTTCATATATTTGTTCTTTTGAGCATAACAAAGATATGTACACTATAACTCTGAAGAAGAGCACAATCGAAGTCCTTTTATAAAGTGGCCTCGTCTGAAACTTCTCACCTAACATTTGACCTTAGGCTAGTATGTGAAAACAAGTGTATGATCACGAATTACAGATTATGTACTGTACTATTCGGAAGTTTTAATCTAAGACGTCCAAAGTTATCTATAATTCGATGGTTTATAGTTGTTCACCAACTGGTACTATCTTGTAATGAAAATAATAAACTCTCTACAAAAAGAAATCAATTGAAAATATACCTAAACCAAGTAACAATTACTTACTGCATGTTTTACGATTAGCCATTATTGAATAATAATCTAAATCACATTCTGAAGAAGAAGATGCTATTGTTGTTGCTGCCGCCGCCGATAATGATGAAGATGGTTGAATAGTTTGATCATCATTTATAATAATATCTTCTTTACTCCATAAAATTTTCATACGTATTGTTACTTGTTCTATTGGACAATAATCATATTCAGTGATTCCTTCACTTAAATGATCAGAGCTATCATTCATTGTATCATCATTATCAGTATTAATAAGATGAGTAAAATTATTATTGATTTGTGGACATATTAAAAATTTCGCATTCAATGCAAATGGATATGGATTTGATAATGCAGAATACTCAATTTCTTTAGGGATACCTAAAAGTAAATTTTAAAAAAATTGATAAGAAATAAGAAGATGAATTTTACTCCAGATAGTCGTCTATCATGAAATTCCATTGTGAAATTAACATGATTTAAACAGTGTATCCCCGACAATATACCAGCTGAAGCACTGAAGTCAGACATCGAAGTAACTACAAACATGCTTCACTTTCTATTCAAAAAGATTTGGAAGGAGGAACAAGTGTCGATGGACAGGAAAGAAGGACACCTCATCAAGATTCCAAAGAAAGGAGACCTGAGCAAATGTGAAAACTACAGATACGGATACCATCAGCAACAGCCTTTTGTAGGAGAGAACAATCTAGCTTCCAGCTCAAGAGGAAATTAGGAAAAGACGATGGAAGTTGATAGGACATACACTACGCAAATCGTCAAACTGCATCACGAGACAAGCACTAACTTGGAATCCTGAAGGAAGGCGGAAAAGAGGAAGGCCAAAGAACACATTACGTCGGGAAATAAAAGCAGATATGGAAAGGATGAATAACAACTGTAAGGAGCTGGAAAGGATTGCCGAGGACAGGGTTGGATGGCGAATGCTGGTGAGCGGCCTATGTTCCTTCACGAGGAGTGACAGGCGTAAGTCAGTAATAGTGTATCATCCATCAGAATCATTTTATTTTGGTTTAGTAGTGCAAAATGGAAACATACTCACATATGGTAGATTATTATAAGGAAACAATACGCAACTACCACAATATTATTAATCTCTGCTACTTTTAGATTTGATGTCAATAATAATGAGGGTTATGTAACCAATTTTATATTATTTCTTAAAATTGTAATGATGATTACAATAGTTGTGTAATCAATTATTGACTCATGATTTCAACCTGTGAAATTTCTAAAAAATCTCCACAAAACCCATTCTGATAATAATCAACTGCTCCCTAGTGACTGACTTCAGGAGATACTCCTGGAGTTCTAGTGAGAAGCCGTTACCAGTGGAGTTCAACCAGGTCTGTTGTGAGATATCAGCTCACTGAAGACAATGGTGTACGGTGGTGCAACTTCGTGGATTGGTTAAAGTTAGACATTAAAACTGTTGGATGCCGGCTGTCTCAGTGGTCTAATGTTTAAGTGCTCGTGCGCGAACCCAGTAGGTCCTGGGTTCGAATCTCGCGGGACGCGGGATAATGGATGCGCACTGCTGAGGAGTCCCATACTAGGACGAAACGGCCGTCCAGTGCTCCCAGGTTTTCCATGGTGGTCTAGCTTCAATTGACTCATGATTTCAACCTGTGAAATTTCTAAAAATCTCCACAAAAGCCATTCTGATAATCAGTTATTAATTGCTTTAACTTTATCACTTCGGATCGGTAAATTACAAATAATCATTTAAATAGAAGAAGAGATTTAGTGAATGGTAAAGAGTAAAAGGATAGAAAAAAAGTAAATACAAAGCACAAAGAAACAGTTTGTAATTTAATAATTGAATTCATGAGTTAATTGAAGCTAGACAACTATGGAAAACGTGGAAGCACTGGAAGGCCGTTTCGTCTTGTCGTATGACTCCTCAGCAGTGCACATTCACGATATTCGAACCCAGGACCTATCAGTCCCGCGTGCGATTGCTTAACAACTAGACCAATGAGCCGGCATCCAACGGTGTTATAGTCTAACTTCAACCAATCCACGAAGTTTTACATTACATTTATTGACTCAAATTTATAATTTTGTAAACTATAGGGTAGTTATTGCTACTGATTATAAAACTGGATAAAAACGGTTGTGTTATACAAGATTCAGTAATTATTGAAGCGTCTACAAAAATCACCTCAGAAATAATTACCAGATTATTGAGTTTGAAATCACTTTGACGTACATTATCCAAATACCATTTAATCTAACCAGCTTTCTGTTCAGTAGTTCAAACTAAAGTGCAATATTTCAGTTTTTTTTAGGAAAAACTCACGATCAATTTTACTGTTATTAGTAAGTATTGTATACTACCTGGATTCAGTAAGTCAGGGGTTAATGTGTTAGTGGTTAATGAGAGGGGTAATGGGTTTAAGTCCCAATACAGAAATAAACACTGGGACTCATATACACTCAGCTGACAAGTCTTATATAGGCCAAAACATATGATGTGGATCTCACTCTCAGAAGATTTTCACGTTCATTTACAATCACGTAGTCTGACAATTAAAATAAGTAGATAAACGTTCAAAGTGAGCATAAGTCGTAGATATATTCATTTGATCATTTGTAATGTTGTATATACACTCAAGCTATTGGAATAAAGCAAATATCTAATCACTAAAACAGTAAAGCGTCAAAAACAATAGGTATCATATAATATATTTCGATATAAGGCGAAATGAAATAAACGGGATACAAGTAGACATTAGAAAACTAAAAGCATGAATCAACTAGGTGAGCTAATATGGGTGTGTGTGTGTGTGTGATTATATTAAGTTAAGAAGCACAGTTATTCGTGAACATACACAAATATTTAGAGGAAACAAAATTCAATTAGCTTGTAGTATAGTACAAGTGTCAATATGTAACATTTGTGTTTTTTTGTTGTTGCTGAAAATACTGAAGTTTTCTTTCTACGTACATAAACTTACACACATAAATAGATAAATGTTTCATCTTTTCTTTCTACAGTTCTATTCCATTAAAATACTATTACGATATAATAACCAGACAACGGCGACTAGAGATATACAATAAAGATTCGTACACATTCATACATACACTGATACACCTATATTATTCACGGTTAAGTAATTTTTCTATACAGAATTTTTATGTAATAAACCTACAGTAAGTAGGCAATCCATTTAAACAATGTTAAATGGAAGAGTAGGAGTGAGGGGGAGAGAGAGAGAGATTAGGTAACTATTGACAAAGGAAATGAATATTTCATTTTTTGTCTTTAGTAGTGTATGGGAGATGGAATGTTGACGGTAAAAACTCAATTAATCGGGGAAATTATTCACAAAATAGTACATACTACTACTACTACTGATAATAATAATAATAATAATAATAATAATAATAATAATAATGATAATAATAATAATAATTGTCGCTTCAGTCAATACTGAATAATTAGAACAATATGTAACTTTCAGCCCATAAAGTAGTTTTTCGGTAGGAAAATAGTATGTATGTAGTTACAATTTACATTAATAGATTGGAAACATTTTAATTTGATGTATAAAAAATGTTGAATAGGCGTATAAGATCATTTGGAGTTCAAAGACTGATTAAGAAGCAGTACTGTAACGTAAGCAGACATGGACTAAAGGTATTGTACATTTAATGTGAGATCGAAAGAACTTAAAATTATTGGACTAGCATTATCGACAACGTTTTCAACGGTAAACTTTGATACTGTTTCCAGGGTTTACGATAGAATAATAAGCTTGTGGAAATTCACTGTACATTAAAACATTCAGCGATTTTAATTACATGTTTGAAAAAAATATTGTGCAGAAAACAGAAATTACGAAGTCCATATACAAACTGTGACTTCCACAGACACATTCAGTATATTGTGATCGTTTTTCAACGAGTATTCCTTTCATTTTGGTTGATTTTCCCATCTGAACAGGATTATAAACTTTGATTCCGAAATCGGTTAGACATGAAATCACCGTGACTAAAAGTTTGAATACAACACAAGTTAACTGTTATGGAAAGAAGACTTTATCGATTTGTGAAGCGATACTCTGTATCAGTTGTATTGTAACAACTAAATATTTAGGTTTCTTTGCATTAGTATTCTTCAACTAGAATTATGTAGAATCTTGAAGCAGACTGACTGATGTGAGTGCATCAACACAACTACTGAGTGTACAAGCACATAATTGATTACTACTCATGAATAAGTTTGCAGGTTGCTTGAGACTTGACAGTCTCTGACTAGATCATCGATTAACACAAGTGTAAATGCAATGTCAGAGGATCATTGCTCTCAAGTTTACATATATGTCCTGTTGACTATTAGTCAGTGGGATAGAACGAAAATGCATGGACTCCTACTGATTCGGTCATACCAGTGAATTACTTAACGAAGTGACTACACTGATACAATAATAATAACACAATGGTAATGATAACTACGACATTGGTAATACTGAACAGTCGAATGTTATTAATTAACTGACTGATAAGTAGATTATGAAGCAAATAGAATATTATAGTACAAACTAATGTTTAAGCTTCATTCCACATTTAATTATGTCATCCAGAGTAATTTATAAAACTAATTTTTCTACCTGATATCAATAAGAGAAAATGGTGGGACTATAATTTATGGACGAACCAATCAGGTGTAAGTTAACAGGTCTCGGAGTTTGTCGCGAAATTCACTCATCCATTTGGCAAAATGGAATTTCGGCATTATTACTTATTTCAGTTCGTAATGAAAACCCTTAATGTAATTCCTAACCCAAACGATCAACTGTAAATCATAATTCTAATTTCTCACATTGGTTTATAACCCTCATTTGGTCCTAGTTATAGGATGGACACACTCAACGTTACTTTAGCGTCATTCAAAGGTCGTCCACAAATTATTTTCACCGTATTATTTTGCAGTTCACCACATATCTGATATTGATTATTACTGATTAACTATATATTGTCAATTACATAAACTTTCTTAATCTCTAAAGTAAGTAAGCTATTTATGAAAAGTTTTAATCGTTAACTTATATAACGAAAAGTTTAACACAATTATCTAAGGACTCTAGATGAAGCTATATACATATAAAAATAATACTCTTACCATTCCATTGTGATACACATACTGCTTTTACATAAACTGTTACCGGTATTGTAGAACTGTACGGTATTGGAAGATGACAATCGAATCCAGTTACATTGAATTCATATAACATATCTGTATGATTATTAAATCTTATTAAAGATCGGATAACACCTGAAATTTATTAATGAATGATAGAACAAATAAATTAGATTAATGAAGAAATTATTTTCATTTTAACTTAATTAAATTATTAATTACTGTTGGCAGTGACCAGTGGAGTTCAACCGAGTCTATTGCGAGATAGTAATTTACTGATAGTAATGTTGGATGTGTCGCTCAATTTCGTAGATTGTTTGAAGTTAGACATTAACACCGTTGGATGCCAGTTGTCTCAGTGGTCTAGATGTTAAGCACTCACACGTGAAACTGATAGGTCCTGGGTTCAAACCTCACCGGGCGGGATCGTGTGTACGCCCTTCTAAGCAGTCCTACAATAGGACGAAACAGCCGTTCAGTGCTTCCACACCTTCCATGGTTGTCTAGCTTCAAATGACTTATGATCTCAACTATTAAAATTAACTTATTTATTAACAATAAAAAATTTCTAAATAATAAATGCAAACAATTTGATATCATCTGTGAAGAATCAGTGAGAATCAATAGTGATGAAGAGCTGTTTTGTTCTAATCTGGAACTCTTCAGAACTGTATAATAACAGATCCATATGGAATCAAACCTAGCATCTTCCGATCTGGTATATATACGATGACACTATCTGAACAATAGAT